AAAAAGTAAAGTTGATTTAAATAGAATTATGTGATCATATGACAGCAAATCATGAAATGTCCAAAAATGTTTTACATAGGATTGAAGAATATTTTCAGAACAGAAGCAAAATAGACTGGTGACATAAGACTTATTCATGATTAGAATTAAAGTAATTGGAAGACTTATAGAATGTAATAGTTTGCTTGCATAATTAGGATGTATCAGCAGGAATATGGTGAAATGTAAATTAGTATAAGAGTTGTCATGTATAATATTGAGTAATATGTAATATGTACAATTATGGAAATTAGGAATTGCCGCGTGTATTTTCCAAGATTTTTGGAAATATAGAATGATGCTTTAGTAAATCAAAAGTAAGACAGTAGCATTATAGTGTGAAGTAAAAAGTAAAGTTAATTTAAATAGAATTATATGATCATATGAGAGCAAACCATGAAATGTCCAAAAATATTTTACATAGGATTGAAGAATATTTTCAGAACAGAAGCAAAATAGACTGGTGACATAAGACTTATTCATGATTAGAATTAAATTAATTTGAAGACTTATAGAATGTAATAGTTTGCTTGCATAATTAGGATGTATCAGCAGGAATATGGTGAAATGTAAATTAGTATAAGTAAGAGTTGTCATGTATAATATTGAGTAATATGCAATATGTAGAATTATGGAAATTATGAATTACAACTTGTATTCTCCAAGATTTTTGTAAATATAGAATGAGGCTTTGGTGAATCAGAAGTAAGACAAAAGCATTAAAGGGTGAAGTAAATAGTAAAGCTGAAGTAACTAGAATTATATGATCATATAAGAGAAAACCATGATATGTATCAAAAAGTTTTACTTAGGACTGGTTTTTTTTCCAGAACAGAAGAAAAATAGGCAGATGAGATAAGACTTATTCATGATTAGAATAAAAAAATGGGATGACTTATAGAATGTAATAGTTTGCTTGCAAATACAATATGTATCAGCAGCAATATGGTGCAATGTAAATTACAGATGGAAATGAGTTATACTATGAGGAAATTTGATGTAAAATAAAAAATATACCTTGGTTGACAAAAATGTTTGTACCGGGAGGAGTATTTTCAATTGTAAATTTCATATGGAAATTATGATGTAAATTACCAACATTTGTCATTATCTGTCTTAATGCATGAGCGGACATGCCAACATAAGGAATACACTCCTTGTCCCAAAACACGTATAAATGAGTGTTACTTTTAAAACATAATCTGCATAAATTAGTTGAAGTAAAATCGTAATGTAAAATTCAAGTAAGAGACCATTCATCAGATAATGTGAGGTTTACGCATGCCTTTTTTCCAGCACCTAATACTTGAGTTCTAACAACTTGCTGAACTGCACCTATTACATCTGATAGCAATATCATTCAAGGTTAAACCGGTGACAATAAATATCTGAACATTATTAAGAATTGAGTAGGACAATAAATACCATAAAGGCGATCAATAGTGAAATATCCATTCTAGAAATGAGTAAAGGACTTAAAGTTGAATTTGTGTTGTGGAATGTCTGGTATGTCAACGACAGTGATAGTTGTGGAACGATTAAAAAACAACTTGTATTTGTTATTACAAACTTTAACAGGCATGTCATACAACATCGTTTCACAATTATAGACCATGTAGGTTTGATTTTCCTGCAATTTATTCTTCCAAACATCAAGGTCACGGGAGCGGGTTACAATATGGATCTGCTCAGCCTGAAAATGGAAAAATATTGAAACCATGTTTAAAACTTTAGCACGGTGATGTTTAATAGATGATATTGTCAAAGAAAAATACCTTTGCATCTTGAATAATAGCTTCAAGATGTAGTTGGCCATTGCGTTCCTTGACGTTCCAGACATTGACGACACAAATAGCTATTTTCCAAACGTTTTATTCGGGATTCAGGTCGCATATCATAATAGGTGGTCGCGACATGGTTGATCGGTAAACTGAAAAACAAAGCAGGTTTACATGAGAATGTAAAATTTATAAAAATCCAATCTTTAGAACAAAATAGCTGAAAAATGAAAAACATAAATGTTAATCTTTAGAACAGAAAACTTGATATCTGAAAAAAACAAAGGAGGTTTACATGAGAATGAAACATTGATAAAAATCCAACCTTTAGAACAGAAAAGGTGATAATGAAAAACATATATGTTAATCTTTTGAACAGAAAAGGTGATATCTGGAAGAAAAAAACAAAGGAGGTTTACATGAGAATGAAAAATCTTTAGAACAGAAAACATAAAACTGAAAAACATTGAAACTTTATGGTATATTTGTTACACACTTACAAATATTATCAGACAAGAATATAAATGGTATAAACAGTGAAAACATTGAAACTAAACAAAAATCAGAACTTTGAAAATGTAAAAACAGGATGAACTCAAGAATATAGGAAGATTTACCTGTGGAACCGTGTTAGAAGAGGAAGAAGCAGGCGACGAAGATACTGGCGGATTATAATGAGAGAGGTTATGGAGGAGGAAGAAGCAGGCGACGATTGAAGAAACACGAAGAAGTGAGAGGGAAGGAAGTCTTGCAATGTTGTTTTCGAAAACAGCAAGGTAGTATACATTGTGTAAAGTAATGGTACAATAAAGGAAGGGAAATCCAGTGGTTTTTGTTGGGAAAAGGGTGCCACTTGGAATAATGGGTTAGTTTGATTTGGTGTAGTTGAAATTTATTTAGAAAATTACCAATAAGTGCAAGTAGTAGTGTAAATTAATTTTGCATTAAAGGTAAAATAGGGGGTTTAGTGGCATTTTATTTTTATAGTTAGGTAGTTGATTAGGAATTGCAGCCTTTATCGTACAAGACTATGGTTAATATAGAAAGAGGCTTTAGTATACCAGAAGTAAGACTGGAGCATTACAGGATGAAGTAAACAGTTAAACTGAATTAAATAGAATTATAAGGTTATAAATATGCAAGTCATGAAAACTATAAAAATGTTTTTCATAGGATTGAAGAATAATTTCAGAACAGAAGCAAAATAGCCTGATTAGATAAAACTTAGTCATGATTAGAATTAAAATAATTGGAAGACTTATAGAACATAATAGTTTGGTTACATATTTAGTATGTAGCATATTTAGTATGTCTCAACAGGAATATGGTGAAATGTAAATAAGTATCAGCAAGAGTTTTCATGTATTATTTTGAGTAATATGTGATATGTACAATTATGGAAATTAGGAATTGCAGCGTGTATTTTCAAAGATTTATGAAAATATAGAATGATGCTTTAGTAAATCAAAAGTAAGACAACAACATTACGGTGTGAAGTAAAAAGTAAAGCCGATTTAAATATAATTATATGATCATATGACAACAAATCATGAAATGTCCAAAAATATTTTACGTAGGGTTGAAGAATATTTTCAAACAAGAAGCAAAATAGACTGGTGATATAAGACTTATTCATGATTAAAATTAAAGTAATTGGAAGACTTATAAAATGTAATAGTTTGCTTGCATAATTATGACGTATCAACAGGAATATGGTGTAATGTAAATTAGTATAAGTAAGAGTTGTCATGTATAATATTGAGTAATATGTAATATGTACAATTATGGGAATTAGGAATTGCAGCGTGTATATTCCAAGATTTTTGGAAATATAGAATGATGCTTTAGTAAATCAAAAGTAAGACAACAACATTACAGTGTGAAGTAAAAAGTAAAGCTGATTTAAATAGAATTATATGATCATATGAGAGCAAATCATGAAATGTCCAAAAATGTTTTACGTAGGATTGAAGAATATTTTCAGAACAGAAGCAAAATAGACTGGTGACATAAGACTTATTCATGATTAGAATTAAAGTAATTGGAAGACTTATAGAATATAATAGTTTGCTTGCATAATTAGGATGTATCAGCAGGAATATGGTGAAATGTAAATTAGTATAAGTAAGAGTTGTCATGTATAATATTGAGTAATATGCAATATGTACAATTATGGAAATTATGAATTGCAACCTTTATTCTCCAAGATTTTTGTAAATATAGAATGAGGCTTTGGTGAATCAGAAGTAAGACAGAAGCATTAAAGGGTAAAGTAAATAGTAAAGCTTAAGTAAATAGAATTATATGATCATATAAGAGAAAACCATGATATATATAAAAAAGTTTTACTTAGGACTGAATTTTTTTCCAGAACATAAGCAAAATAGGCTGATGAGATAAGACTTATTCATGATTAGAATAAAAAAAATGGGACGGCTTATAGAATGTAATAGTTTGCTTGCAAATATAGTATGTATCAGCAGCAATAGGGTGCAATGTAAATTACAGATGGAAATGAATTATAGTATGAGGAAATTTGATGTAAAATAAAAAATATACCTTGGTTGACAAAACTGTTTGTACCATGAGGAGTATTTTCAATTGTAAATTTCAGTTGGAAATTGTGATGTAAATTACCAACCTTTTTCATTATCTGTCTTAGTGCATGAGCGGACATGCCAACATAAGGAATACACTCTTTGTCCCAAAACATGTATAAATGAGTGTTACTTTGAAAACATAATCTGCATAAATTAGTTGAAGTAAAATCGTAATGTAAAATTCAAGAGACCATTCATCAAATAATGTGAGGTTTACGCATGCTTTTTTTCCAGCATCTGATACTTGAGTTCTAACAACTTGCTGAACTGCACCTATTACATCTGATAGCAATATTATTCAAGGTTAGACAGATGACAATAAATATTTGAACATTATTAAGAATTGAGTAGGACAATAAATATCGTAAAGGCTATCAATAATGAAATCTCCGTTCTGGAAATCAGTAAAGGACTTAAAGTTGAATTTGTGTTGTGGAATGTATGGTATGTCAACGGCAGTGATAGTTGTGGAACGATTAAAAAATATCTTGTATTTGTTATCACAAACTTTAACAGGAATATCATACAACATCGTTTCACCGTTATAGACCATGTAGGTTTGATTTTCCTGCAATTTATTCTTTCAAACATCAAGGTCACGGGAGCGGGTTACAACATGGATCTGCTCAGCCTGAAAATGGAAAAAATATTGAAACCATGTTTAAAACTTTAGCACATTGAGGTTTAACATATGATATTGTCAAAGAAAAATACCTTTGCATCTTGAATAATAGCTTCAAGATGCTGCTGGCCATTGCGTTTCTTGACGTTCCAGACATCGACGACATGAATAGCTATTTTCCAAATGTTTTGTTCGGGATTCAGGTCGCATATCATAATAGGTGGTCGCGACATGGTTGATCGGTAAACTGAAAAACAAAGGAGGTTTACATGAGAATGTAAAATTTATAAAAATCCAATCTTTAGAACAGAATAGCTGAAAAATGAAAAACATAAATGTTAATCTTTAGAATAGAAAATCTGATATCTGAAAAAGTCAAAGGAGGTTTACATGAGAATGAAAGATTGATAAAAATCAAATCTTTAGAACAGAAAAGCTGATAAATGAAAAACATATATGTTAACCTTTTGAATAGAAAAAATGATATCTGAAGAAAAAAAAAACAAGGAGGTTTACATGAGAATGATAAATCTTTAGAACAGAAAACATAAAACTGAAAAACATTGAAACTTTACGGTATATTTGTTACACACTTAGAGATATTATCAGACAAGAATATAAACGGTATAAACAGTGAAAATATTGAAACTAAACAAAAATCAGAACTTTGAAAATGTCAAAACAGGATGAAATCAAGAATATAGGAAGATTTACCTGTGGAACCGTGTTAGAAGAGGAAGAAGCAGACGACGAAGATACTGGCAGATTATATGGAGAGAGGTTATGGAGGAGGAAGAAGCAGGCGACAATTGAATAAACACGAAGAAGTGAGAGGGAAGACAGTCCTGTAATGCTCTTTTCGAAAATAAAAAGTTAGTATACATTGCGTAAAGCAATGGTACAATAAAGGAAGGGAAATCCAGTGGTTTTTGTTGGGAAAATGGTGTCACTTGGAATAAATGAATTGTTTTGATTGGGTGTAGTTGAAATTTATTTAACAAATTATCAATAAGTACAAGTAATAGTATAAATTAATTTTTCATTAAGGGTAAAATAGGGGATTTAGTGGCATTTTATTTTCTTATTTAGGTAGTTGAAGAGTCGGTCAACCCAGGAAAGACACGTGGAATAGTTATTACAATAAAAAATGAAAAAAATGCATTAATATAAACACAGAAAACATAGAAAAAGAAAAAGAAAAGCTCTCTTTCTTTCTTCTCGTACGACTTTCTCTTTCCATTTCATATAAAAAAAATCCTCTCCATAAGGGTTTTGTCTTCTCCAAGTTTGTATCTTCTAAGTTTAACTTCTCTACTGTCTAAGTTACTCTAATTTTCCCACCTAAAGTTAGAGAATCTTTATCCTCTCCACAATACTCTATCTCTTGATTCTCTCTATCAAACAACACCAAGAACAAATTTGTCCCCTTACTAAATTTGTTAACAAACACATAAGAAAATCTTTTTCCCTTTCAAACCATAGAAAGCACAAATTGAGAACAAAACGAATGAAAGGGGAAGGAGGAAGAGGATACCGTTCGAATCTGTAGTGGGGGAGAGGCGGCATGCAGTTAAAGGCGCGTCGCATCAGACTCGTGGGAGAGGGATGAGTTGTGATTCAATGGTTGGGGTTGTTCTGCGTTCCGTGTGGTATGGATATTGCAGTGGTTGCTTTGGTGATGTGTTGCGGAGATTAGTAGTGTATCCCTTTGTGAAGAAAATATGTGTTGTGTTTTATGTACAAAATGAGTGTTGTTAACTGAATGTGTAAAAAAACCTTTATGTGTGAAAGTACTAGTCTACTAGATTGTCCACCCTTGTTCCGCATTTGAATCTTTAGCTCAAATATTATTTTAAATAAATAAATATATTTTAGTAAATATAATTATATATAACGTATATTTATAATAACAATAATAATATTAATATTAATGATAATAATAAATATTATGAATTTATACTATAATATTTCCGGGAAAATTTTATAAATCAAAGAAATTTTATAAATCAAAGATGTTACGACATGAAAATCAATCTCATTCAAATCCGTATATAATAGTGTTAATTAAAAAAATTGTATTATTATTATTATTATTATTATTATTATTATTATTATTATTATTATTATTAATATTATTATTATAATTTGATAATTAAATATTTTTTGTACAAAAAAAAAAGAGAATTAGGATAATAAGATATAATAGCGTTAATTAAATATATTATTATTATTATTATTATTATTATTATTATTATTATTATTATTATTATTATTATTATTATTATTATTTTTAATTGTGATAGTTGGTTATTATATTATTATTTTTGTTATTGTTATTATTATTATTATAATTATTTATAATTGTGGTAGTTGATTATTATATTATTATTATTATTATTATTATTATTATTATTATTATTAGTGGTGGTTTAACATTATTATTATTATTATATTATTATTATTATTGTTATTATAATTATTTATTTTAATATAGAGTTTAAATAATTAGGGTTTGTACTTAGATTTGTTATCAAATCACACGTGGCGAGAATTGTTACCAAGATGACATGTGGTTAGGGTTGCCATCATGACTTTTTTGGATTTATATTAAGTAGAAGTAGATGTATAAAAGGGTGAAAAACGTAATGCTATATAGTAAGAATCATTTGAATAAGAAATGCAAGAATGTATATTTGTCATTGTTTTAGAGGAGACTTTTAAATTTATTTTAAATTTAATTACCTTTTTAATAGGAATTATGGATAGTGGTAGTAATGAATGGTTGAGATTTAATTCTTGACTTTCTTGCTTTCATACTTTCTTACTAATAAGTATTTTTCTAATCAATAATAATCAAAACTTAAAAACAAATTTGATTTGATTTCTAAATTATAACTATTTTGGTCAATCTCATAAAATCTATTCTAAAATAAAATGAAAACAAAATCAATTCAAATATTTTTTATTTTGGATTTTTTTGGACTAAAAATGCATAGAAATAAAGAATGAAATGAATTAATAATATTTTAAATATGCCTAAAAATCAAAATATGAAAATAATATTTAAATATTAAAATACAAGGATTTTTTATGATTTTGAAAATAGAAATAAAAAATAAAAGTAAAAGTAACAAAAAGAGGAAAATGCACAAAAAATGACAAATGTGAGATTTGAATCCGAGATGCTATACTTGCAAACCTTACCTCCTATCAATTGCGTAATCTCAATTATTCAAAATAAAGTGGCACTAGAAAACATATGAAGGATGAACAAATTTGAGGTATGACAGCTGACCCTATTTAATTACCATTCGCCTCGAGAGTGTGGAAGACGAAGTCTTAGCACGTTCGTGGTGGAGGATAATTAAATATTGGAAGACCCCTAATTTTCCTTTTAAGAGGAAATAATTTGTGTGATGGACTAACTTATTAAGGATATGCGGGCGAGCATCCATCTACAGTTTTAATGTTGTATCTTCGAGTATTGATTTTTCCCGATAGGACTTGGAATGGAGTGGGTCCCCTACTAAAATGTCGTTTATTAAAGTAAGAATGTTTTAGGTAATGATCGTATGATGAAAGGGTATGCTTCAGTACTCGAAAATAGAATGCTAGACAACTTAGTACGAGAGGATGAAAGTGTCTCAAACACAGTTGAGAAAGCCCAATTTTTATAGCTGCATGAAATCAATCTCAATAAATAATCTAGGCCGACGAAAGTGGACAAATTATTTGCCAAAGATAAGACAACACACTGACGAAAGTAGGTGTTGTCAAATTTTCTCTTTTTTCTATAACTTTGATGTGTTTCTCGTAATCGAATAAGAGGTTCGCAAGAGTTTGCCTACACAAGAATCATATGGCCTAGGTCTTGTTTTTTATTATAATTTTTTTCGCTAAAATTTGTCATAAAAAAATGTAACCAATTTTCGAATGCTTTAGCTACACAATGACATGTGTAATACGGTGGGAGAACTAAGTTGGGTGTTTTGTGTTTTATCGCAATTATTGCGGATAGCAAGAGTCGCCACCGACTTTTCTTTTATCCAATAAAGGAAATGGTGAAAAGAACATGAAAGACCTTTTGAGAATTTTCTTGAGTTCGGTAGGTAGATTATGAAAAGGGAAGGTGTTAGCACCCTTTTCATCCGTAGTTATCTACAGGCTCTTAGTTGCTAGCTCACTTTAAAAATTCTTTGTGTTTATGATTGATTTCGAAAGTATTTTTGAAAAGTGTCATCGTTTAGGAGAACTTTGTAATGATTCCCGTCTCTATAAGAATGTATACAAGGTGTTGACTTTTGAAAATATTTCATTAGAAAGTGTTGGTGTGTTTGAAAGATATTTTGAAGATGATTGTAAGAAAGCAACCATGAACGTTCTACCTACTCAAAAAGTCTTAGTTCTTTTCCTCTTCCTTTAGATATTTCTATCTTACCATTGATTGGTAAGAAGTTCTATCATTGGATGTGAATGGACGGACGTGGGTCATCGTATAGTCATAGAAAGCAATGTTGTAGAATACCTTAGCAATTTGTAAGGGTCTAAGATCATTTATGAAGACAACATTTGAAGGGTCATCGAGGGACTATAATCTTGGTTAGATTGTTTTTGCTAAAGTATCCCACGTTTGTGTAACATGACTATTTTATCTTTAGGAAACAAGTGAGGTTAGCTCTAGAGGTCTAAGTGTGCATAGTATTTGTTTTTCATACTCTTTTGTCTTTAAATTAGGGTTTTCTACTTGCTGATTTTATGTCTTGCCATACGAATCCTAATTACTAGCATTTATATTTAAAGCGATAAATTGTGAAAACGTAAAATTCTACGCTATTACATCATTTGGAAATAGGGATACAAATTTACAAATGGGGGAGCAAGTAAATAAAAACCTAATTTACTATTACAACCATATTGAACTTGAATAAATAATGTACAAGAATGTGAGATAATGTACAAAGAGAGAAGAAATTATTTTGCTTAAGTTTTGTTATGAAAAGGTTTATAACCTAAATAAACTAAGAAGAAAGTTAGTTAATTTGATTTAAGAAAACTAAACCTAATTTAATTAAGAAAAGAAACTGAATTTGATTAAGATGACAAATTTTTTGGATTTATATTAAGTAGAAGTAGATGTATAAAAGGGTGAAAAACGTAATGCTATATAGTAAGAATCATTTGAATAAGAAATGCAAGAATGTATATTTGTCATTGTTTTAGAGGAGACTTTTAAATTTATTTTAAATTTAATTACCTTTTTAATAGGAATTATGGGTAGTGGTAGTAATGAATGGTTGAGATTTAATTCTTGACTTTCTTGCTTTCATACTTTCTTACTAATAAGTATTTTTCTAATCAATAATAATCAAAACTTAAAAAAAAATTTGATTTGATTTCTAAATTATAACTATTTTGGTCAATCTCATAAAATCTATCCTAAAATAAAATGAAAACAAAATCAATTCAAATATTTTTTATTTTGGATTTTTTTGGACTAAAAATGCATAAAAATAAAGAATGAAATGAATTAATAATATTTTAAATATGCCTAAAAATCAAAATATGAAAATAATATTTAAATATTAAAATACAATGATTTTTTATGATTTTGAAAATAGAAATAAAAAATAAAAGTAAAAGTAACAAAAAGAGGAAAATGCACAAAAAATGACAAATGTGAGATTTGAATCTGAGATGCTATACTTGCAAACCTTACCTCCTATCAATTGCGTAATCTCAATTATTCAAAATAAAGTGGCACTAGAAAACATATGAAGGATGGACAAATTTGAGGTATGACAGCTGACCCTATTTAATTACCATTCGCCTCGAGAGTGTGGAAGACGAAGTCTTAGCACGTTCATGGTGGAGGATAATTAAATATTGGAAGACCCCTAATTTTCCTTTTAAGAGGAAATAATTTGTGTGATGGACTAACTTATTAAGGATATGCGGGCGAGCATCCATCTACAGTTTTAATGTTGTATCTTCGAGTATTGATTTTTCCCGATAGGACCTGGAATGGAGTGGGTCCCCTACTAAAATGTCGTTTATTAAAGTAAGAATGTTTTAGGTAATGATCGTATGATGAAAGGGTATGCTTCAGTACTCGAAAATAGAATGCTAGACAACTTAGTACGAGAGGATGAAAGTGTCTCAAACACAGTTGAGAAAGCCCAATTTTTATAGCTGCATGAAATCAATCTCAATAAATAATCTAGGCCGATGAAAGTTGAAAAATTATTTGCCAAAGATAAGACAACACACTGACGAAAGTAGGTGTTGTCAAATTTTCTCTTTTTTCTATAACTTTGATGTGTTTCTCGTAATCGAATAAGAGGTTCGCAAGAGTTTGCCTACACAAGAATCATATGGCCTAGGTCTTGTTTTTTATTATAATTTTTTTTCGCTAAAATTTGTCATAAAAAATGTAACCAATTTTCGAATGCTTTAGCTACACAATGACATGTGTAATACGGTGGGAGAACTAAGTTGGGTGTTTTGCATTTTATCGCAATTATTGCGGATAGCAAGAGTCGCCACCGACTTTTCTTTTATCCAATAAAGGAAAGGGTGAAAAGAACATG